AATATCCTGATCATTATAATCTTCATATCATCAATACTGTCATGAGTAGAACTCTGATCATCAAAATGATCCACAGCAGCAGTTTGTAGAGCTCTGCTTGGAGGTCGTGAACCTCCTCAGAGTCTCTGTCATGGTCCCGTTGCTACTAAACTCCCACAATGCTCTCTGCTGCCACCATGAGCTGCAGTCTGTAGACGCCTCCTCTGGTCTCTACAGGGTTAAACAGTAGGAGGCTCCACCTGGTGGAACAACCAGGTACTGCAGCTGACCACGACATGAGGTGTCATCAGGAAAACAGGATCTTATCAGCAGGTATCGAAAGATAATCATCTCTGATCAGATTAAAGGCAAAAGAAGCTGATCAGGACTTCTGTGTCAGCGACATCATTCTGACGAGTTTACGCTCTACTTCGACCAGGAACAGGGAAACTGTGTTTGTGTCTCTCTGTGGTGTTATTGTGTGTTTTTAGTTGTGGTTTTCTGGTTTCTCTTCGTCACTACACCTCTACTGTCTCTGCAGACACAGCCATGGCAGAGGTTACCTACCTTTACGAGGACAGGTACGGACTGTGATTGGTCAGTCAGTGTGAAGCAGAAAAAGGTTGTTCCTGCCACCTCCAGTAGAGGGCAGACTGAGCCCACTTGCCCCCACACCGCCAGTCGCCGCCCTCTGACCCTGATGACACAGACACAACGGTCACAGGGGTCGCTAACACATCATTGGCCAGAGGTCATGTGACTCACCTGTGGTGCAGCAGCCCCGCGGCCTCTCTGACTCCCACTGCGTTAAGCCCCGCCCCTACACCTGCACAGGCAGCCAATCCCTGCTCAGGACCAGCACATAGCAGGATGGGAGAACCAATCAGCTCCACACAGCCTCCGGCCTCGTCCTGCCCCAAGGCTTTCTGGGGGATGTAGTTCCAATGAGGGAGGAAGACGGGACGATTAAGCCACACAGGAGAAGGAGACATGCACTGCAGCGACAGACAGGTGAGACAGGTGAGACAGGTGACCAGGAGTTAGAGACAGACAGGTAAGACAGGGAACCTGAACGATGATACGACAAGCTAACGTTAGCTAACCTGCAGCTTCTATGCTGCCTTTGCTGCTTGTAGGACCACAGACACACAGAGAACCAGATGTTCTCAGGAGAATCGGTTCCTGATTGATCATCTGCAGGTTTATTACAAACCTTTGAGTTTCTGTGATCAAACTACAAACTGAAAACAGGCTCCACTGCTCAGAACAAGCATCAGATTTACAGTGCTCAGCATTAATGAGTACACTCTCTTGAAAAAGCACGATTTTAATCAATATCTCAATGAACACAAGAACAGTTTCCAAACTTTTGACAAAACAGAGTTTTATAGAACATTTGTTGAACTCAAAACATTGAAGACATTAAAGTAGGGTTAATAACATAACTCAGATTACAAAATCTGCAGTTTTACTCAAATTAGTTGATGCAAAAATGAATACAACAAAAGCTACTACATCTACTATTTTATACGACCTCCATGGTTTTAAAAGACAGCACCAGGTCTTCTAGGCATGGGATGAACAAGTTGGTGACATACTGCAACATCTGTCTATTTTTCTTAGTTAACGCCCTTTTATAGTCAACTGGCTGTTGGACACCTGATGAATGAATAATTTGACCCACAAATCTTGTTTGCCATCAGTGGCCCACATGTGTGTGAGCACTTCCACACTCACTGAGCTGGACATCTCAGGATCTGCCCTCCGCTGGTTCATGTCCTACCTCTCAGGAGATACTTCAGAGTATCCTGGAGGGGAGAAGTGTCTGAACCACACAACCTGTCCACAGGGGTTCCTCAGGGGTCAGTGCTCGGTCCCCTTCTCTCCTTATTCTACACAACCTCACTTGGTGCAATAATCCAGGCCCGTGGTTTTTCATACCGTTGCTATGCTGATGACACCCAGCTCTTCCTGTCGTTCCCCTCAGATGACCACACGGTCTCTGCTGGATCTCATCATGCCTGGCAGACATCTCAGCATGGATGAAGAAACGCCACCTTCAGCTCAGCCTCTGTAAGACTGAGCTCCTTGTCATCCCAGCCAGT